TGATAACGTGCATTTGCCAGGAGGCTCCCTTCCGCACGGATGGCTTCATTCCCACATTACCAGTCGTGCAAACGGAGCGACAGCCGCTCACTCATCCGCAAAACAAGTCTTTTGTCACAAGGCACCCAGCAGTTGGGCCCGCCTCAAATAATCACTTTGTGATTCTTCATGCTCCCCTACCCATCTGGCTCCAGCTTCCCACTCCACCTCCTTGGGTCTTGCTTTGAGCATGGCTGGGGCAGTGACGCTCGGGTGGCTGGAGGTTTCTCCACACCTCCCCAGTGCCCCTGAGTTGCTGCATCACTCCTGGGTCCCCTCCCTTCCTAAGAAAGCCCTCTGCTCTGTTTAGCATCACTTTTACCTGGAGTCTTTAGCCAAAAGTTGCTTTGGAGGAGAAATCGTCAGTGCAGCTTGAAATAAAGGAATATGTAACTACTGGCCCAGCACACTGTGTTTCAGGGGTTGTTCGTAAATTCATGCTCATAGTTGACAGATCACTTCCTATTGTTCCCTTGGCCCTTTCCTATCATTCTGTTCAGACCAAGGTTGCTCCCAAAATTTTTGCTTGAGATGACCCTCATCAGTGGAAACACTCACTTTCCTATCATTTATCCAAATTCTTATGCACTCCAGACTGAAGCAATGCTTTTCACGTTGGTGGTGAGCAAATTCCTTCCCATCTATGTCCAAGGTACAAGTTCATTCAAATTATTTCCCATTGTGATCAAAGGAAAGAGGACAAAGGCAAAGCTTTCTTCTCCCAATAGGTCTCCAAAGGAATTTCAGATCGCTCAGAACCGATTGTCTCAATTTTCAAGAGTTGCTCCTCTTCATATGAAACCCTACAGAGCTCCTCTAGGATCTCACAGGGTTCCTGCAGAGCTGAATCTATGCACCCATGTCTGCATCCAATTCCCAAGCTGTCGTATTACCCTTTCCCTCCATTTTCCTAATCTGAAGGCACATGGGTTAGCTCTGGAGTTGCTTACATTGTGACTAATGTCTGCAGAGTTAGTGTTAAGACATATAAATTCAAAATCCTTGAGGAAGAGGAATTTTTACTTTCCAGCAGTGTCGTGAAGCCCACCCTTCCCAGCAGAGGAGCCAAATGCAGTGCTCTCCTCTGTAGCCACCTGCTAAATCATTTAGTGGTCTGGGCTGTGGGAAGAAAGTTAATTGCATATTAAAGAGCCCTTGAAGCAGTGAATCATGATGAGACATGGAAGAAAGCAGCCAGTTATGAATACAGAAAGTGTTCTCAAACACAAGACACCTCTCAGAGAAGAACATGGGAGGCAGACACTTTGAACGCAGATCCTTGGAAATATCTAATCAGAGGATGTTTCGTGATGCCACAGGATGCTGTAAGCCCATTTGCTGCCAGATGGTTCATTTTTCAAGCCCTAATAACCGCCAGGAGTGGTTCACACTAATGTTAGAACAGCAAAGAAGTATGATCTGCTAATAGGTGTCCAAGCTGGTGTTCTTGAAGTACATGGGCAGTTCAAGCGTGACATAGAAAAGCCGTTCCTGATCAGCAGTGCGGACTGTCACAGGACTGCCAGAGAAGCCAAAACCAAAGGGATTTCCCTGGCAATGAAATGCTCAAACAATGAATACGGCAAGTGAGCAAAAACCTTCAAGGAGAATAGGTGTTTCTTCAAGGTCAGCAAGCACAACCACTATGCAAAGGGTGGGCACTGCTCAGCACTGATCCATCATGCTTCAGCATTCCCACATTGCAGGGAAAGGCATGGCTGTATTTCTGGGGTACATTTAGGGATGTCAGTGACTTGGTTAGGCATGTCAAGGGCTGCCAACTTCCATCCTGTCTTCATCCCAAAGCCAGGCTCTCCTCCAGACCATAATTCACCTATTTCAAACATCTCTTCAGCCTAACACCAGACGTATTCAACAGTTGTTGAACAAATCAAGCAGTTCAATACTGTTCGACACAGTAGTGTTTTTTGCTCCAGAGCTATCTTCACTTCAGTTAACAACAGTCATTCATTACTATCACAATTGGCGCATCCCAAGAGATGTCCCGGGCTTTTAATTATTGTTATGCTTATAGAAGGGTAAACTGAGTCCTCTAGCCTGAAAAATGGTTTGTCCAGAAAGGCACTTGTGAAGTCACTGGGAAATATGGAAATGGGTGCAGATACACTGCAGCCTTCCGTCTCCAGCTCTAATCTACTTCACCATCGACAAAAGACACAATTAAAGACCCGACCAACAATTTTTGCCATATCCACAGGTGCTTTTTCACTCATTGCCTGGTAGGTGCACAAAAACATGGAAGAGAAATAAGTCCTCTGATATTTTGCTTGCACTGAAGTTAGACAGCTAAAGACACATACACAAAGTCAAAACACTTCATGCAGTGCATACGGACGGACAGATGGATGCCAACGGTTGCAGTCAGAGCCCTGTGTGTGGTCTGCCTTCTCCTCAGAGGGACAGAGGTGCCTGGGATGCTGAAGGGAGCAGGAGAAGACAAGCTTATGCTTTTCATTGTGTCTTACCCCTGTAAGGAAACACGGACTGGAAAAGGAGAAAGTGGGAAATCTCAGTCCATCTAAAAGGATTGCACTGGCAAGTGCTTTGTCCTCAGATCAACCATGTCACATCTACTGAGGAAGAGCTGGGGGAGAGACATGTGGGATCATCTCCCTGAATAAATGTTGGATTTCTACAGCGGTAGTTATCTGTGATCTTGGACCGATGATCTTCCAACCCTCCTTCTCTGAGGTGGAGCCACATGACTCACTTGGAGCCCTCTCCACTTCTCATCTGCAACCAGCTCTTGTTGCCAAAGTGGCAAATGCCATCACCTTCAAATCTTCCATTCCTCCGCTCAAACTTGCATGCAAATGGCCAGCTGGGATGGGGCAGGCAGGGGAACACACATATACAGAGCCCTTCATTTCTGCAGAACTAAACCAGAATTATTCTGCTATATTGGCTTTTAAATTGCAGCCTTTAGTGCTCACAGGAGGTGCTTTTGTTCCTATATCCAATCAAAGCCTGACTACCTCATCTCTGTCTCCTTGAGTACCCATATCCTCGTATTTTTGTCCCCTGAATCCTCTTATGGATGTTTCCCTGGGTCTCTAAGCATTTCCATAGCCTGCTTCTGTTTTTTGCAGTTAAAGATGTAATGTTGAGAAAAAAAAACCCTGTATTTTGGTGCACTGCTTTGCATCACCACCCCCCATGCAGCAGCCTCTTGTTTCATGCTGTGTAGCTTTACTCATTGAGCAAAGGATATTGAAAGAAACATATTTCTTTTGCCCAGACTGCTTGATGCTCTCCATTGGGCTGAGTGGATGTGAGGAAGAGGTATCTAGAGAGAAGGAAGGGGCAATAAGAAAAGAGCTGCAAGTTAAAACAAAAAGTGAACATTCCAAAGTATTGCCTAAAGCATAAAAGTTGAGGCAGTTCAGTTTAGAAACTTTTCACTTAAATGATCTAAACCCACAAATACAGAATACAATAATGTAAGAAACTTAGTACAGCAACATTGTAAAGCTCAAAAAATGGGTCACACTGAAATGTTAATGACAATGCCGATATATTGCATTTTGATTTTTGTGTCTCCAACATATTCCCATCAAAGCCATAATCAAAAGTGATGTGCTTTCTCAAAACACAAATACCTTTGAAACAAAATACAGCACCAACATATTTTCATCAGACCTACTTACAGCACAGAAGTATCAAACAAACATTTCCTTTCTAACCCTAAATATTGAAAAGTGTATGTAGTAGAAAAGATGAATTGACTTTAATGAATTTTATCGTGTTTTAAATAAAGAGGAAAAAGCCTCTTTCCTGTTTATCACTTTGCAGCTACATAGGTGATCTTAACTTGCAGAACCAATATTTCCGTATAGCAAAATGAACCACTTTCATTATCTCAATTTACAAGTAGGGAAACTGAGGCACGAAGCACAGATTTTTTTTTTCCCCAAGGCCATTTAGTAAATGAGCAGCAGGATGGATCAAAGCCCACAGCAGCAATGCCCTGCTGTAACCACTAAGTAGCATCGTCTTCATTTAACACAGACCATTATCAGTTTGCAAATGCTACTGATGGAAGAGACCTACTGTGTCCTTTTGCAGTTCCCTGTAAGCACAGGCTTTTTTCTGTGCCATGTGCTGTAGACAAGAGTGCTTTATACAATCCCTACATTAAAACAATTCAAGCAGGAGGACATCTCTTTTCCTTTGGGGGAAACAATTCTGTAGCTGAATAGATTGCAGCATTAGGAAATATTTCCTGATGTCCAGCCCCTGCCACAGCTTCTAGAATCTGTTGATATATTATTAAAAGAAAATAAATATAGGTATTAATGCGAGCAGACACTGCCTATTACTAATAGCTGCTAAAGTAATATATTCCCCTTGTTTTTAGCTTTTATTAGTCTTTTTGCAAAGGGTTACAAGACCCTTATGCATCCATTAGCCAGTCAGCCATGTGAAATTAATGTGGAGCAATTTTCATAAGCATTACTCAGAACTAATAATAATTAAGCATTATTTTCTGCTCAGATAACACAGAAAATAAAGTCTGACTTTTATGCCAAGATGGGTTTGCATTAGTTTAAGGTAGATGAATTAATTCTCATTTACAAGGCTTCTCCACCAGCTCGCCAGAAAATATCAAGGTAATTAAAACCAATTTGTGAGGTTCTGTCCCATTGCACATTCACTGGGTTTTATCATTGCTGCAAATTACAGGTGCTTTTATGCCATTGCAAAGGTGGGACATGAAGGAGACCTTGCTGCTTGCCTCCTTCCCCATCACTTTCAAGAAAAGCAAACTCCTTCTGAAGACCAGAACGTATTTTGCAGTGCACTTTGTTGCTGGAGAAGCAATGAAGAACCATGCACTGCATGAAGGACCAGCTCAGTCCCAGCTCAGGTTGGGATGTAGATCTCTCAGCAATGCTTGTAAAAGGCCTCTAACAGAGAGGAAAAAAAGAAAAAAAAAGAAAAAAAAAGAAAAAGAAAAAAAAAAAACCTATTTCCTTTTGATTCTCCATTTTCTTACAAGGGATTAGTTTTGTCTAATCACAAAACCAGGGGATTTCTATAGACAGAATTTAATGATAGCTCAGAAACAGCTCTCTTCAGCCAGGCAGATTTTTCTCTATTCCTTTAAACAACCAAAACTCAGCATTTGCAATCCAGGTAAATAAGACTGTTTAGTTATATGATGCTACACCTTCCATCTCTGCTCCAAAGATTTCTTGCCCTTTCTCTAGTTTAAGGAGATACCAAATACGACATGTAGTCATGTCCTGCTGCAATACAGAAGATACATTAGTCCAGCTAATAATTAGCTGTAAGATACATTAACCCAGAGCTACCCTACAAACAGCTAAGCCAATATGCAACTGAGTAAGCCAAGACCTTTCTTAGGGTTTCAGCTTTCCAAGGGGAGAAGCTGCTTCAGATACCACATCTTGACTTTACATGTGAGTTTAGCAAAAATATAGTTCTGACGTGACCCACCAATGTGGAAAATCTGTGTTTTTTGGAAGATTATAGCCTTTCTTGTCTGTCCTGGCTCTCTAATTTCATCTCTCCATCGCTTCCATCTCTCCCCTGTCTTACTGTGGCATCTCATTTTGGCATCTGTGTCCACATCAGTGAGATGGAGCAGGTCGACCTAAGACAGGATTATATGGCTCAGCAGAAGAAGAAGAATGAGACAGTAGTTCTGACTTTTATTATGTTTTGAAAAATCTTCTCTAAAGTAATCTAACTGCTATTAAAGAGATAAATAAAAGGAGACGATACTCAAGAAATACCAGCTGTTTCTCAGCCCTGGAAAAAAACACCCCAGAATTTGGAAGTTTATCCATGCCTTCAATTAAAAAAGGTTTCCCCCTTAAGGCTGTCTCAGTCTCAATCCAGCTACGGTAGCTGTAAACAGACAATAGGATCTCATGGTTTGGCTTTTCTGCACAATCTTCTCCCCAACTGACGATGCCGATCTGAAACCACTTCATGGTGTGCCAGTAGCTGCAAACCAGAGGTCCCCCGCTGTCCACCTACGGCATAAGGAGGATGTTATAGCAGGATCAAAGCTCAGGTCTCCCATAGCAGCTGCATCCCACAGGCTGATTGGGAAAAATCAAACTCTACCCTGAGTTCGTGAGGATTTGGAGGAATAAGGAAATTTTGGACTCAAAATTTCACAGCTCAGACCTGAGATCCCTGCAGAGTAAATAGATACAGAAGGTAAGAGGAGGAAATCAGTCACAGGCTCTGGCTCAGTGCAATGCCCTGTCCCTCTCAGCTTTTTCCATATGTTCCCGTGGTCCCAGAAGGATACCTGAATCCTGTCACCGAGAGGCAACATCCAAGAGTGAAAAGGGACATTTGCTGTGACTGCTCATTCAGTCCTTGACCTCTCTGCAAAACCGGTGCACATAGGCACTGGGTGCCTGCCACTGTTAATTTTGGGGGCTAGCATTCAGAAACTGGACAAGAGATGAACACTAATCCTGCAAAATCCTTCTTGCAACCACAGTAATTTTACAGAAAACTTGCCTGGTACTGCAGGGGTAACCATCACTCACCCAATGCGTGCAAGCCTTCAAATGAACATTGCAGCCACCCTGCCAAGAGGAACGTCCTCCTGTTGGCTGCTGTAGCTTGAACACCAAGAGCACGTCTAGTTGCCCATATGATTTCTGTGTGCAATCTCTGGGCACAGCCCGAGGGAGAAGAGAAACCAGCACAAAATGCCCCCAGCCAGGTACAGCACTTTTCTGACAGTTATGTACACCTTCAGTGCTGTGCAGTCCCTGCTCTAAATAATTTTCCTTCCACAGTGGGGATGAATCTTTTTTTCTACTCCATCTCCAGTACAGGTGGCAAATAAATTCAACACAAACCCATTTCCTGAGACAGTCAGCTTTTCTGGGAAAAGTTGTCCTTTCCTCTCTTCACACTACTTTGAGAAACATCTTTGTCATTAATGTATGAACCCCTTTCCGCCAGCAGCTACCCTGAGCTAACACACATTAATTAATGAGTAAGGAAGCAGCTGTAGTCCCCTGTGTAACTCATCAGCACCCGCTAAAATTTATGGCTGAATTCCTACTCACTTCACTAGATGGAGGGCTCAGGGCATTAATATGTTTATCTTTTTCAGGTTTTTTCTATTTTTCTTGTTGGTTCAACGTGCACACAGGAGGGAAAAATTAAGATAAATACAGAGCAAATGTTGCTTCAGCATTCAGAGGATCATAGCATTGTAGAATCATTCAGGTTGGAAAACACTTTTAAGGTCACAGAGTCCAACCATAAATTCAATCCTGTTTGGACTGCAATGGTGTTAGTGTAGCTATGTGTCTGCACCTCAGCCAGTGCTGCTGGACCCTCTTCAGACTCAGGAGCTAAAGACCTTTCCTAACCCTTTTTCAGCCAAGAATTGTGTGAATCACACAGGTGACCTTGCAGTGACCTTGGATCCACGTGTTATCAGTGTCCTTGCGGTGGCATCCTGTTTGAATGAATGAACATCTCCTAGGCTGTGCACAGAATTAAATTACTGGGAATTTTACTGCTAATTCCCTCAGGGCAGGAACAGGCCAAAGGTATTATCCTGGTAGGGAAAGGAAGGCGCTTCAAGCCTCCTACATAAAGATAATAAATGAAGTTGAGGAAGTGGGAGCCGTTCGCAAGCCAGTGACACAGCGACAGCTGACAACCCCTCATCAGTGATACGTCGGGATGCTTTGTGCCAGCTTTTCCCAGTACAGGGGATTTTTTAGCACTGGCAGAGCCCCTGCACACCGTCAGGGCAGATCAGTTTCAGTGTCCAGTTTGGAAGCTGTTCCCACTTGCAGAGGATCTTTCTCCCAGGGCACTTAAATACCAGTTAATTCCTGATACCTTGTGACTATCCTTGGGGGGAAAAGCCTTATCATATTTCATAGCTGAGAAAACCACAGCAGAAAAGGGATGTGATTTGCACGAGGCAATGGCAGAGCCAGGAATCCATATGTAAACTATACATCACGCGATTTTCCTTTCAAATCAGATTTCCCTGTTTGCCTCTTTAACCATGTTAATTTTGTTCTCTGCCCAGTTGGCGGGGAAAGGGAGAGCTGTCTGCAGGGCTTGGGGGACTCTCAGCTGTGGAAAGCGATTTAAAACCTGGTCAGAGGGGGAGTTCATCAATGCTGTGAAAACCTGGGAAGCAGTTGCAAATCCATTTCTCTAATCCACAAGACCTGAGAACCAAATCCTGCTTCAGATCCCTTTCCACATGGGCTGAGCTGGTCTGCTTCGTGGGTGCAACTTCTAACACGCTATCTCTCTTAACTTCAGCGATTTAACTCGATGATTTTATCACAAAGTGGGCTAAATCAGCCTCTGCATGTGATAATCTCGCTCACATAATCATAGCGGTAGCTCAGATGAATCAGTAGCCTGGTTTTTATAGGGGTAAAAATAGAGAAAATAAACTTAGTACTTGGACACCTCTGAATATCCCTGAACCCACCTTAAGCTCTCAGAAATGCTGGCCCAAGGTTTTCCACCCTTGTGTAGGAGAGGGTGTGGGAGGAGGGAGTTTTGAGTGCTGGTACAATTATCTCAGCTCTGTGATGTTTCCAGTAGCACTAATTTAATGAATGCTCAGGTTAACGTCTCTGAAGATCGAAGAAGTTATTAAATGCTGCTTTCAGCTTTCAGCCTCCTGTATCCTGATGGTGAAATACTTCTGGTCAGCAACATACACCAGACACCTGTCCTGATCTTCACTCTGAGTGCCAAGTTTCTGAACAGAAAAAAAAAAACACAACTAAAAATAGCATCTTTGCTTCTGTTGCATGTTTCTTGTCAGCTGGAGGATGAGTGAAAAGCAACCACATCAAATCAGGTCTGGTGCTGAACTCATGCCTTCCACAACTGTGCATTAATCCTCCCATTAGGAGAGGTGAGAGCAATGATATATTTGTTGATAAATAGTTCTGGCTTGTATAAAAACTGTCACCGACTAACAAGGCAGTCTTTTCACTGATGCTGATCAGAAGTTTCATCCTTTTCACTGCAGGCAAAGCCTTTTTGTGAACATCAGGAGCCTTTCTGCTGACTTTAGTGGGCTTTGGATCACTGTATAATCTTCCTTTCATATTTGTATTTGTGTCTGCAACATGGTAATTGATCAGAACAAACACGTTCAGCCACATAAATCTTCTTAGGTGGGAGAAGCTCTGGGGGAGGGAGAACAACCCGTCTGATACTCATTAGGTGGATACACAATCCTTGCAAGTCATTGCTGGTTTCATTTTCATGTTGGTAAGCTCTGTGTAAATTGGAGAGTGTCAGCACGTGAATAACAACACTTGCCATTAGATCTGCCATGGCTGCAGGAAGTAAAGGTTTTTGCAAACAGATGATTCCTTCAGTCATTTCACTGTGAACAAGCTATTTTTAGAGAAAGGTGGAAGGAAGGGGGCCAAGGACATTTTTAGTGTCCAGGTACTGAAAATTAATTTGGTAACACAGGGTACCTAGGCTCCTTTTATGGGATCCCTTTGAGATCTCAGGTGGGAGCCTTTAGCTGCACTGTCCCTCCATCCCCTTACTGGAAAATGGGAGAACAAGACCGCCCAACTTGATGTCAGCAGGGCCCATTAGTTACTATGGTGGCACAGACTTAAAGGCGGTTATAATGCATCTGGCCAAAGACCCATGTGGCACAGACTCCTGTCTGACAGTCATCTGTAGCAAGTGCTCAGGGAAGGAGAATAAGAAACAGGGCAAGTATTTACAGAGTTGTATTTACATCACAGTAGTTAATAGCCTCAGAGAGATCTTAATCCAGGAAGTTATCTAATTGCTTTTTGAATCCATTTATCCCTTAGGATAAATACCCACAACATCCTGGTCAGTGACTTACATAGTTTAATTATCTGTTGGATGAAAAAACCACTTCCTTCTCTTTGTTTTAAATCTGCTGCCTGATACGGTCATATCTCAACCCCTTCTTCATGTATTTTAAACAGCAGTGGCAAGAGGACAGCTCTTGACTGTCTTCTCCTTGCTGATCATGACTTCAGAAATCTGTGTCATATCCTCATCAGATGTCTCTTTCACAAGCCTGAGTCCTGCCCTGCTATTCCCCTTTCTGCCAGAAGCCATTCCGTGTCCCTGTTCATTCTTCCTCCTCTCCTTTTCTAAAACTACAACTCCTTTCTCAGACAGGGTGGACAGGAATCGCACACAGCACACAAGACATAAGCTCCCAAGATTAGTGACCTGGCATAACACCCATTTGGTTTGCTACCTATTCCTCTTCTAATAATTCATAATGTTCTCATTGCCTTTTTGACCTCCACAGAGCCTCATGCTGATGCTTTTGAAGGACTATACACAGTTACTCCAAGATCTTCTTACATGGTAATAGCTAATTTAGAGCCTATTATTGCATGCGTACAGCTGGAGCTGCTTCTCCCTATGTTCATTCCTTTTCCTTTACCAAAAGTGAACTGCATCTGCTGTTTTAACCTCCAGTCACTCAGAATAATGGGACCCTGCTGCACCTCTGCACAGTCAGTTTTAATTTTGACCACTCTGAATAGCGCTGTGGCATCGACCAGCTTGGTCAACTCAGCATTTGCCCTCCTTGAACATTGTAATTCCTTGCATGGATGCCAACACAACTTCCCTTGTAAGCCCTCCCTCTGGTCAGATCCTTTCTCCATGTTGCCTCCCTTTCAAAGTGAAGCCCTTCTACTTCATGACAGTTCAGTTTGTCCATAAGCCTTTGGTGAGAAATCTCAGTAAAAGAGTTTTGGAAATCTCAGCACATTATATCAGCTGGATTACCCTCTGCCACATGCTTGTCAACTCCTTCAAAGAATTTAAATCTGCCTGTGAGTCATGACTTTCCCTTAAAGCCATGTTGACTCACTGTAATTGAATGAGAAGTGGCCCCTCTGAGTCATCACACCCATTCCCCCGCTCCCAGGGCAAGCACAAGTTAGGGTTTTGTGTTTCAGCTGGATCCAGAGATGTTCTGCTCCCCACAGCT